TCTTCAGGATTGAAGCACCTTTATAGAAGGTTTTGAAATCTCCCACTTTGGTATTTTGAGCTGAGCTCTTTGCTGGCAGCTTCTTTGACTTTCCTTCCCTTATCTTTTCAAGCATTGCCCAGGCAGGGCCGCTGCACAAGTTTCACGGGCAGGCTACATTTGTAGTCTCCCCGAGCCCTACATTTGTTACACGGGCTGATGCAGTAAATTATTAGAGGTTGAGTAAACACAGTGTTTCAGTCCCAGAGACAAGTTGAGATTAAGGTCTCAACAAGACCAGCTCCTTGTGGGGGCTGTGAGGAAGAAACTGTTCCATACTTCTTCCCCCCATTTCTGGTAGTTTTTGGCAACCCTTGGCATTCTTTGGCTTGTAAAAGCATCACCCTGATGTCTGTCCTCATCTTCACATATCGTTCTCCCTGTGTAGGTATCTGTGCCTAAATATTCTCTTTTATAAGGACATCAGTCACTCATTGGATTAGAGACCCAACCTTCTCAAGTATGACCTCATCATAACTACTTATATTTGCAATAGCCCTATTCCCAAACAAGGTCACATTATAAGGTACTGGGGTTTTAACTTCCACACAGGAATTTGTAGATGACCAACATAATTCAACCTGTAACAGATTCTGAGCCTGGTTTAATGTTCTCTGACACCATCTTGAAATTCTTAATAATTTTTAAACAAGGGACCACACATTTTCATTTTGCATTATTTAAATTCTGTAGCTTGCTCTGTGCACAAGTCCTTAATTCTTATATTAAGCTCTTGAAATCTGAGCTCTATAAAATGGCTTCTTGTTTCCTAATGAATTCCTGATTGACATACATACATACATACCATAGATAGGAAAGATTTGGGTAAAGTATTCAAACAAGCAGAACTGTTCAGTTTTTGGTTCAACCCCCAAGTGGAGAGTCAAAGATTCAGAAAAAAAAAAAAAAAGAAGAAGCAGGGGAAGAAGCCCCATACTCTTCAACCCCATTTTGGATGAGTTAGCAACCGGACAGATCCCAGATAAGTGTTGGAACTCTGGGAGAAAGGTTGTCAGGGTCCCTGTTTCCTTCTATAAATTTAGAAGTACATCAGGTCACACGTAATTTCCAAGCTGCCATATCACAGAAGGGTAGAACAGAGGAAACTACATAAGACCCGGGTAGAAGGACATGACATAGCTTTATGGAGAATTCTGGTGGAAAGCACGCAGAGCAGTCAAAGGCTCTCGAATGACTGAGATGAGTTGGGGAATTATTAAA